TGCAGATCAGTCAGACACCAAATCATAAACTTGCAATGCAAATCAGAGAAGTATCACCACACAAGTGACACAATGGAGTACACAGATTGCAAGTACGGAGAGCAAGCATTTCAGAATTATATCACATAATTCAATCAAGCTTAGAAATACTATAGAGTGATTTTCAGAAAAACAGGACTATCAAGAATCTAGACTTTTGTCCAAGTAACCCTCAAATTCCAAACAGCTCAAGGTTTCTGGACAAAGGAATTACAAGGAGTCTTTGATTCAGGTTTTCAAAAAAAACAGAACTGAATACACTTCACAAGGCAGAACACCCAACAATGCAGTAATCTCAATCAACAAAAAATCAACCAAGGCAGTAACTAATAGGGCAGTATAATCAAACAGGTAGTATAACTACACAAGGCTAGACACTACATCAGATTTAGAACACCAAACACAATATATAACTAAATAGAGAATGTGATAACCAAAAACTGAAAAGATCTCACCAAGCCCCTTTAATTAGGGTTTCAAGATAAACGCAGAGCAGCTCAAGTTTGCAGTTAGTATCAAGAATCAAGCCAAACAAGCATCAAGAAGTCCCTGCTTTAAGCTCCGATACCACTGTTGGGAGGAGATCACACTGATTAGCTTAAACAAAACAAATTATATGTGCTAAAGTTAACAATACTAAACTGAAAATAACAACTCAAAGGAACTGAAATAAGAACTTCAAGAAATCGAGATCTGAACACTATAAGAAACTGAAAATATGAAGCACAATAGACTGTAAAAGGCATTTATCTTCTATTCAAGCCCACATGCCAGAGTTTATACAGATCGATGCTTCAATCTCACAAGAATAACCACTGTTATGCTCGAATCAAAAAACCCAAAAGTAAGAATACAAAGATAGCACTCAGCCTAGACCGTTTATTACACAAAATAGGAGAACCCTCTTTTACAACACACAGTTCACACAAGAACCCACACTCAACCAAATGAAATCACTAAAGATTACAACCATGAGTGAAGAAAATAGAAATCAAATGAGAAGATTTGATTTCAGCAGAAGAAGAGAGAACTCAGAAACGGCGTAGCAAAACAGAGAGAAGATGGAAGTCTCTCAAAGCCAGTCAAAATGATCTTAAACCCTAGAATGAGCTTTTAAATGGGTCACTCAACAGTCATCCATCCAACAGTGTTGGAGGCGACACGTGGTGACTCCATTATCGTCCATTTTCATCAGGTAAGTAGAAACACGATTTCAGGCTAACAGAACACGTTTTGCACCATTTCATAAACCACAAAAAATTGGGCTGGACTCCAATTAGTTCCAGCTGAGCCAATTCAATCAGGCCCAATGTCATTGCATCATTGTGCCATATTTTCTCTTCAAAAGGTATATACATTTATCTTGTGGAAGTAGGGACATTTTTATGAACATTTAAAGTAACAGGACTGGAAAATATGTAGACGATTCATCTAAATAAGATTATTGTGTATTGGGATAAATTTAATGTATGTTAATATACAGCTTGAGTTATTCCATAATCTGTTGTAGTTGTTGTGTGCTAGTGGACCATGGAACGGAAATGCTCAACAACCTGAATTTCTTCTTTGTTCAGCAACTCTACAAGTTGGAGGTCAATAAATGAAAGCTTTAGGAATACTCAAGTGATAGTACGGCGGTTAAAATTAATCACAGTTAGAAGAGTAGTAGGGAGTAACTAGATGTTACTGAGCATGTTGAAGACAAATTGAGAAGTGAAAAGGTTTCGAGGTATCATGTCACAGCTGAAGTTTTTAGACGGGGAAAGAATGTGCAAGGAAGAATTATAATCATTAACAGCTACCGTGATTTATGGGTCAAGGAAATAAAGCAGTAGAAGCAAATACTCATAAAATGAGCGTATCCATTCTTAAGATGGATGTATGCTCTGACTAGCCACAATAGTATGAAAATGGATCTTGAAATGGTGACGAAATCATGGCTGAATGTAAAACTATGTTAAAAATGCAAATGCTTTGACCTAGCAATTTGGAGGCTAAGCATATGTTTCGTGTTGATGTGCTCGTCATTGAAATAAAAAGATTTATTTATTGAATCTATAATAGAATTGAAGCTCTGATCTCTCTTCACAACTGTTATACTTCTCTGCTACTACAGTTGCCAGTTATATTCGGTAAAGTTATTCTCCAATTAGCCCATTTCTTACTTCTCTGCTATACTCCTATTGCTGACGCGATCAAAATATAAATAAAATGGAACCAATTTCCACTGCGAAGGAGTCTTTCCATAATTTCTCTAATAAAGTGTTCTTCTTTATGCTGTCAAATATTATTCAAGTTACCCAGATATTGTTGATTTAATTACATAGCTAAGCATCCTCAAAACTTTTTTTATGATGAAATGGTCTAGGGTATCTTATCTGGGCAGTGACAAGGCCAGCTTGCGTTCATCACCAGACTGGAGGTATGTTACACGTCAAGAAGGGATTTTCATGCTATGGATAATCTTGTTTTCATTTTTAAGTAGGGTAATTTGATTCAAAATTGTCTTTAAAAAGTATACTCCTAAAATTTCTCATACGATATGGCTTATCATGAATGCTACAGTCTGGTTACATCTTTCTGTGAACATTCAGACATTACTTTTATTCTCATAATCTGCTTACTTGTTCCAGGGATATAAGAGAGCCACAGTTTCAGAGACGCAAGTCTACATATTCTCTGATAGTTCTCTCTCATTTTGCATCCTTGTTCCTTGATTCCTCTCAGTTGTGCTGCTTGTACAAGTTTGTTAGATCATACAAATTTATACTAATAAAAGAGAGTACTTTGTGCCGAAATCTGTGCTAACTACTTGGTTTCTGTGATGATTAGTGAGAGGAAGTTATAGCTTCCATACTGTGTTTTGTAGCAGATGTGGATTTCTTTTTAGCTTGTCTTCAGGATCAGGATGAAAAGAGAAAATAACCATAAAGTTCAACTTGCCTCTTTTTAAAATGATCTAGTGTACACAAATTGTAACGCCCCAAATTCCCGGAACTCGAAGCATTAAAAAAAAATCTGCTCTTTGTTTGTCTTCTTTAATGCTAACCAAAATAAATTGTAAAAAGAGGAATTTCAGCAATTACTGTTATATAG